AAAAGCCATATTAAACGCAGACTACTTTAGGCCTGGAAGTAGGATTCGTCACGTCATCACTTAATGACCGGATTGCTATGCTTGATGACTGAGTTCATTTCCTGTTTTATTTTGGTAATGAGTTTCCCCTGCGTTTGGCTGTTTTCGCCTGCACCCAATCACATTTTTGTATGTAGGTAGTGTTGTCTCTGTCAGCTGGAGGTCTGGCTTTTTGCCCTTGTGTTCTTTCTGTGGCTATCTCTGGTGTCTTTGTATTGTTTTGTTCCTGGACTTAATAAGTGATTCTTATCTTTCATTCAAATATTCATTTTGTTTGCTACACTCATGAACTTTATATTTGGGTCCATACTTGCTAACATCCAACATCTAATGTATTTGAAATCACATATATTGTGTTATAGGCCCACGGTAATGGGAATATATCAAGAACTTGTGCTAATGGTTGGTGACAAGAAGCAGGGCTTTCACTTTTTTAATAAGTAAAATCTAATTTGTATTACACCTTTCAAGATAAACATGACAAAGTGCTTCCCCCAAGAATGCTACAGCATAAAAACAAAACTTAACCAAAACAAAAATGCACATAATTTATTACTATTGTGATTGCAACGAAGCACTTTTAAAGTGTAAAACATTACACAAAGGCTCTCTGCTGTCATGCTCTCTTCCTCTCTACGCTCTCCTTCCTACTGTATACAGTACAGATTTATTAGCTAGAGCCGGGGCCCCCGGACAGTCACCACTCAGCACTCCCTCAGATCAATAATTGGAAATATTAATTATATCAGCTGAGACGGCCCAGTCGGAAGGGGGCTGTTTATGCTCCTGTTACTGAGCAGTGCAGCACTATGAGCTCTGATGGCCCACTAATGCGTATTAATGATCCCAGAACAAACATTACTCTATATTAAACTGGAACGAAAGCCAGAAGACATCACACATATTATATGGCTGTTAGAGTTATTTTATTGCAGCCCTGTAAGTAAGAGCTGTTGGATAACTGTTTCTAAAGGACTGCTTCTACTGAGGAATTGGCTTTTTAAAAAAACAAGACGGGATTTACTGCAGTTTCATTTCTGTTTACTGTTCATCTTTACGTGTATCTCTTTTCATAAATATGAAAGTTCAAAATTTGCACTTGGAATCGCACCAGGTCTTGCGTTATTGTCTCTCCACTGGCCGTCTCTGGGGTTTCACCATTTAAAGAATGGGACTTTGTACTGCTCAATCCTGCTAAACTCTAGTTATGAACTTCCTCCTGTCACAGATAGTGCCAGCAGTAGACTTGAAATCCACCACACCTGGCTGACAAAATCTCAACTACACATCCTTTGACTTTTGTGGTGAAATATAAAATCAGACACTCGAATGGCTCGATCCCAGAGGTGGTTAGGGATTGCTTAAACAGAAACCACACCTGTGTTAGGTGCCATTTTACCAGGTTAAAAAAGTGTGATATGGTACTTGGATATGTGTATCACTTTGTAACAGTATATGTAAAGAGATAGCTGACCATCAGTCTTGTAGACTAATGAACAGAGACAAACCAGCTGGCTGAGTGTGTATATTCCAGGCATAGTGCACACTACATTATGTTCTGCAAGCCCCGGGGTTTCCATCTGACCCTTCTCATAAAACAGCAACATACTAGTGTTAAAAGCTTTAATTCAACTGACTGCGGGCTTAACTGGGCAAATGAGGCGGTTCAATGAAAGCATATAGATTTGTCAAAGCCCTTAGAGCAACACAGTGTGTGGAATGGGAAATGGAGAAAGACCAGGGCGCTTACTGGGAAAACCAGAAACTCTTTTCGCTCGAGGTGGAATTCAAAGAATGTTAGCTAGTTTGAAGATCGTGAAGCAACTGATTGAAGCTTATTTATTAGCTTCAGTCAAACACGATCAGTTTACTTTCACAATCTCCTTGTAATAACCTTTAAGATTCAGAATAAGTAATGTAAAGAAAGAAGAAAGTCCCCATCTTTTCTTCCACACAGTTTAAAAAACATGTTTAGGACAGAAGGCACATGCATCAAACCTTTATTTTACCGCAAATGTATTTTTACATAATGATGAAATTAGTATAACAACGATTCTGTGGGAGATACAAAACCCATTAAATAAATCAAAATCTTGATTAATGCAGTATGTGGTTGGTTCCCCTTGTAGATCCGGTGATGCAAATAATAATGAACAAATTTAGAAAAAAAATGAATACAAGAGACAAATTATTTGTGCTCCACAATATCAGACATATAGATATAGCGAGTTTCTCTCCCAGTATTTATTCACATTCAAAATGCATTTTCATCGTTTTGCCAATTATAATTGATGTCCCACAAATATGCAAACAGTACATTTGAGCAGAGGGTAGCCTAGGGAGGCAGGTGGTTAATTTGTGCTGTAAATATACAGTGTTTGTATAATGCAGGTGCTTTTTTTTACCTCTTTGTTTTGTCTTTTTGGGGTTTTTTCACAGTGTGTTTGAAAGTGAAAGGCAGGAAAGTGGAGTCAGAGCAGCAGAAATGGCACTCAGCAGAGAGGCAATCTTATCTAAGAGCTGCAGGCATCTTTTTCCTTCACTCTCTTTCTCCCTTCGGCGCTGTGCTTCTCTTACGACTTTCTCCATTTCTTCTTGTCGTTTTCCAAAATCTCACCTATTTTTTTTTGTCTGGTATTTTCATTCGAGGCTCTCACTTGATCATTCCCAAATATTTATTAATAGATAAAAGAGAGAAAAGAATCAGTTATTGTTTCATTCTTTATTAGCATGTCAATAATCTGCGAGCTCCAGTTGTTAAAGGGCATAGTGAGAAAAGATGCCCTAAAGTAGCCGAGTTAATTAATGGTTTCCTTGGCAACACCAGTACTTAATAAATTTAACTTAAGTTACCTTGTCTGTGCATGTGTGAGCACGCTAATAGTACGGGTGTACAATTTGCACTTAATTTCTGCTGGAATTACACGATTTTCTTTATGTGTTCAAGGGAAATTTAACAAACTGAGAGCCATCAGCTGTGACTGTTCTGGACCATAATGCATTGCTCTCGGGCAAATAAATAGACCATTAAGCTGGCATGTTGGAGGCTGAACAGTAACTAGCTTTAGAGAACTGCCTCCCACACACAGGCACCCTGTAGAGATGGCTGAGATCATAGCATTGTAGAGCCACAGCCGTGGATTTGGCCTCCTCCATCATGCATTTGAACAAAAATCAACTGGCAGGATCGAAGCGTCTTTTGTCCGTTTGACACGTCAAAGGCAAATTCAAAGATTTCCTGTGTTGTTGCGAAGGAGCCGAGGGTTGTTAAGTTATCTGTGAATTTGTCTTGCGGCTGTTTCTTTCCCCGTTTCAGAGGTGTTTCTGTCTCGGAGGTTGCTTTGAACGAGTGCGATAGTATTGCGGTTGACTCTGTAATCTATCCGAACACGCTGTGGAGCAGTGCACCCCGTGGCTTGGCATTAGCATACCGTAGTGCTACTTTGCTCGTGTTATACAAGGAAAAGAAAGCACTTGTAGATGGATAGGGAGAGGGAGAGGAGCCACCCAAGACACGAGGAGCTGAAACCACAACCTTCACAAGGATAACATCCTCTCTGTTTTCCTACAAAGTCTTAGCTAGTTCTAGTTATTATTTACGATGGGTAAATTTATGGAATAATTTCAGCTAGGGAAGGTTACTCAGTTCCTCAAGGTGAAAATGGATACGTTTAGCACTTAATGAATCGGGCCTGGGCCTCTGCCCCATATATCAGCATGTTATTAAGACATTTTAAAATCCCATTATGGTGTTTCTCCTTGAACATGTCATGCTTTTATTGGACTGCCCTGTCTTTAAATCTGACCTTTTCAGCCCTGTTCTGGAATTGAACGGGGGGGAAAAAGATACATGACAGGACGATGGTTCAAAATATACATATCTGGCTATAAAAATATCAGCGCATGGTGGTGTCTTAGTCATTTGACTGCAACACCAAGAATGACAAGTGGTCTTAAATAGCAGCTACAAATGGTTCAAGAGGTTGCTTTTATATTCCAGTAATCTTGTTACATGTTTGGGCTATTTGTGGTCTCATTTTTTTAATCCAGTCGTTTTGTTCTCACAGTTGTTGCCTCAGTCAAAGTAGGGTGTGATGCTGGCATTTTGACGTATGCAGATAAATCATCTTATGAGCTTTACGCTCTGCTGCCGTACATATACATATCATATGCACAGGTGGGTGTATAACCAGCATGTAAGACTCATATATTCAATTTAAAAACAGCTGCTGCTGTAACGAACATTTTGGGAATCATAGTTACATCTTTCACCCTTCTTCCAAACAAATCTGCCAAAGTCGGGCAAAACTGTTCAGCTTGAACAACAATAATGAAAAAAGAAGGAGGTAAGATTGGGGAAGGAGGAGAGCGTGACACAAAGGCTGTGATGACAGAGGCATCTAATCCAGGCAATGCCATTCTTATCAGGGTCCAGTGGATTAGAGTGAGCCTTCTAACCAGAGAATCCTTCCCAGCCAGACACTCTCCACAGCCCAAGGGCCTGGATCAATAGGCCTGCATTGATCTCTCCTCCTGTGGCTGGATTCACTTTTATTAGGACTGCCTTGGTCTCTCTCACTTAGACACACATATGCAGCCCTTCAACTTCTCCATGCAGCCGCCATGAAAAATCCCAAATAGGATTGGGTGGGTGTGTGTGTGTGTGTGTGTGTGTGTGTGTGTGTGTGTGTGTGTGTGTGTGTGTGTGTGTGTGTAAATGGGAGCTTAGATTGTTTTGTTTTCACTAAGTAGCCAGCTCCAGAAACACTACAATATCAAGTTGACTCAGCTGTATGATGGTGTTTAGGTTGCCTCCGCAGCCACGGCACTTTGATCAGTATTGCAGAGTAGCTATTCATATGGGAGCTTGACATCCCTGGTTTGTGGCCTTCTGTTGTAGCAACGCCGGCCCAAGTCGCCACCTCTAACCTCGCTGACACTCTTTCTTTTCTCTCTTCCAGATGACTCGCCCCATCCAGGTGAAACCAGCTGACAGCGAGAGCCGTGGAGGTAGTTGTCTTCTTTTCTTCATCATTTATTCACATCCTTCTTTTTCATCTGCCTTATCTAGGCTAATTCTCTTCATTTCTTCCCCTCTGATCTCATCTGTTCCACTGCTCTAAATGCAGTAATAATAACACTCTTCTTTTGTCCTATCCCACTTCCCTTTCCTTCTTGTTGTTGCACTTCTATTCAGTATGGGAGCAATTTGAACAAAACGTAACCAAATTATGTGAGAGTAGATTTAAAAGACTGGGTGACATCAAACAGGAAGTTTGATGTAATCTTGACTTGACTACATGTCACTAGGTTTGCAGCAATTTGTAATTTTTTTGTTGTTTTTTACTGATAATAATTCAAATACTGGATTTATGGATTAATCTCTCATGCATATGCTTTTTTTGATTAAAGAGTGTTTCACTGATGTGGTGAGCTCTGCCCATCTCTCTTTCCCTGTTTCCTGTTGTGAACACATTATTATTACACTGTAATTTAGATAGTTATTAGAATCAGTACTGGAACCGTAGCCATTGCAAAGATCCTGTTAAAACCCACACTGCTTGATCTTGTGCATTTGAATCACAAGACTAAATAGTATAGACAGGAAAAATGGAGCAGAAGCTTGTTCAGCTTGCCAAACAATCAATAAATGTGCAGGGATCTTGCCAAGATCCTCATTATTTGGCCTTAATTCTGTCCTCTTTGATCTCTCCCATATTTGGAGGCTTTTATGTACTCACTGTCTCTCTGCATATATGTTAATGGGATGCAAAGGCATCCTTCAAGTCAGTGGCAGAAACAACAAAACCTCACTGTTATTATTTGGTGTGCATCTCATCTCGTGTCACCACGTAACAAAGCAAGTTCCTTTTTGTTATTTAAAGGAGGGATGCTGTTCAGTATTTGTCATCCTGGTGCAAAGAGAGAGGTTTGGATGGTCAAAACAGAGGCAGAGAAAATGCAAAAATGATGCCAAATGTGTGCAGCTGCTGTGCAGCACTTCTGAGGCTTTACCTAAAAACCCCTGCCTGTTTTGGGTGAATTAGGATTGCTGGCCACTTGGCTGCCTGTCACATGCACAATCTTCAAAGGACAGCATAACCCCTTGAGATGAATGGAGGAAAGGCCAATAAAGATCACTGTCAGTCCCCCATGCTTTCATTCGTTCGTTCTTTCTTTCTGTCTTTCTTTCGTTCTTTCTTTCTTTCTATGCCATCCTCCCTCTTTCTCTAAAACATTTACAGGAGTGGTGAGACAAGCACAAGGGTCTTGTGCTGTCAAGATTGATGTCCCCTATAGCTCCATTGATTTTGCCATTGTGGTGCTGTGTGTCCACATTAACAATGACACTCAGCTGTCTCTTTACTTGGTTGTGAGTAGCTGGGTTTAAAGCTCCCAGGGCACTTTGGTCAGTATGGGGTCTTCTTAGTGGCTGGCCGTGGGGACCCCGCTGAGGAACAAATGAGTGCTGGAACAGACCTGAGAGTCGCACATCATCTTAAATGAACAGGTCAGAGTGCCACCACAGGGGCAATCAAACACAAGCGTGACTTTAACAGGTTAGGACAGAAGTGAAAGCGGGGAGACGTAGTTTGTGGGGAGGGGAACGATCTGACTGTCATTTTAAAATCTGCTCTTCTTCTTCTAGTCTGCTGTCCTGAATTCTTTCCTTTGTAATTATTGGCAAAGATAATTTATGTTAGCTAATAGCCTGTGTTATGCCCTACTTTCACAAGCTTTAGCATCTTATTCGCTGTAATTCTGATTTTCTCAGTAATCACTGCTAAATTTAACTACCTTCAATATTATTATTATTTGTTTTTTGTGCTTATCTGCCTGCCTTCACCGTCCAGATCAGTAACTTCTAGAGTATAAATCAACCCAGTGTACTGCAGAGCGGATGCAAAAATATTAATTAGGCTCTTAGTGCAGTGGAGGGAGGGACACGAGGGACAGACTCAGCGTGGCCTGCTCTCTCAGGGGCCACGCTGCTAGTCCGATAGGGGGCATATATTCCTCAGTGCACACAGTCACACTAAAACACACAGTCATCCTAATTAGTCCCTTAATCTCATTATGAGGAGGACAGTTCAGATCACCTGCACTAGGTTTCCATCCATGAGGGAAAGACCTGTTACTGTGGTTTTATGCCTGCTGGACCTCCGCTTCAGTGGGAGCAACTCTCTGCTGTTATTAAGCCCAGACAGGCCCAGGCGAGCACAGCGCACTATCCCTGATTATTATTGCAGTAAAAACTGAAATGACCTCACACAGGAATAAGGTAGAACATATTCTCCTAATTCCACTCAATATTTGATGACTCTTGGATACCTGAGCAAAACTGAGCATTTCCTTTTTTACCTTTTTATGGAGCGTTCACTTTTGTTTGATATTTACAGCAAATTTATGAGAATTGGAGAAGACTCAGCCAATAGGTAGCTTGACAGAATCCATATCAGGAAACTGCACTGCACTATAGAACTAAAGGAAATATATATGGTAGAGTAAATCCATCCAAACACTGTCAGCCCCTGCTGCCGCCTAACAAAGACACACTGTGAAATGAATATTAATGGCCAATCACCTACCTAATCTAGCAGAACAGCAGCCGTTACACATTGAGCCACCAGCGCTGTGAACGTCTCCGTCACCGATGACGCAGATCGTTCTGGGATGTTTCTGTTGGGGAGACGTTTAAAGAGGCACAGCAAGGAGGCAGCAGGGACCTGTCTCTCTCATTTTCTCCTCGCAGGTCTCTGATATGAAATAGATTGATTTTCCATCACACATGGCACTGATGACTGGCACTGTCTGCTGCTGATATTTCATTTTTGAAAGGCTGTTCAGTCCCTCCTTAGAGAGTTTGGCGTTCTTAGGCAAGATAAATCAGCTTTAACCACTTTGATTTCATCCTAAACCTTTTACCAGCAGCTCGTCTTTTAGCGTTCCATCATTACCGCCTGCCCCTTAGTGTTTCCTTCCTTTGTAGACTGTCATTTCATTTGATTTTGTCTTTTGTATCAGGCTTTTTTTAAAGATCCATTCTGCTCACTGGCTAAATGATATTTCTGTGCAAGTGCTGCATTTTTGTATTCCTCTGTGGCTCTTTGTATTTTCCAGCTTAACCTACTGTTAAAGTTTTAAGCTCAAATATTGTCCAGAAAGCAGAAAGAGGAGCAGGCGAGCTGTCAGCTGGGGCTCTGTTGGTGTTGCAGCAGGCCTGCCTGGCACAGCTAGAGCTACAGCCCACTGAGGAGGCCTGGATTAGAAACAGGCTCTGGCATTTTCAAGGCAGGCCTGCCGCCCACACGCACACCCGCACAGAGAGGACAAACAGGCGAATTCATACATACCCATGCAGCTCTAACGCACATACACACTTTCTCTCTCACACGAGCACACACTCAGTGGGAAGTCGGATTTGGATGATAATAGGAACACATACGCACACAAAGAGACATGCCCACTATAGGTTACATATTTACACGTAGACTCATACGGTGTGCACATATGCTGAGTGGCACGGGTCTGTTTTCCTTTCATGAGCTGTGTTTTATATTGTGGGCCCAGCAGCAGCATTGCATTTCGTTTTTATGTTTACTCAAACTGAAGGACAATGAAAAGGTTTGCTGCAGGTCACTGAGATGTGACGGAACAAGAAGAGAGAGGAGGATAGAACCAGAACAAGAGGAAATAAGTAAAATGGAAAGTGAAGATAAGGGAGTGCGGAGAAAGATTAGAAATCTAGATTGAGACTGCAGGGTACATGCAACGTTGCTGTTCTGTGCTCAGGTTTTTTTTTTATGTGGTATAAAAGACAACACAGTGGTCTGTGCTCTTCTTCTTCTCCCTTTTTACTAGAGAGACAAGTTCTCTGTGTCAGAGGAGCTTAGTAATGAACCAACAGGAAGGCCTCTAAGCTCTACTGATCCCCTTTAGAAAAGCGAGGAGGAATGAAGGAGAAAGAGGTAGTTAGAGCAAGAGCAATCGGTTGGAAAAAAAAAAGAAACAGCAAAAATAGAGAGGTGGACAATAGGAATTTGTTCTGAGATATAGAAAGTGGGAGAGACACACAAACACATACGCACGCACACAGACCGAGTGCAAAATAGAGAAAAGTATGGCTAAACCAGTGAGATGGAGGGAGGAACGATAGGGGCAAAGCAAAAAGCTGAACAGTATATCTTCTCCCTTTGGAGAGACGAAAACTATAGATTACTGGTCACAATGTGCTTGGCTGGGCATAAATGGAGAGATCTTGAAATACTAGGGAGTATGTTCAGAGGTTGTGGGGATCAGGGTGAGCTAATCCAATAGTAAAGCCAGCTCTGGGTCACACATTCAGAGCTCAAACTCCTTGTCCAAATCCCCTCTGGTGCTCTTACACAAACAATACTGATACACAGGCCTTTGCTCACCAAGAGTTCAGTCAGCTAACTCCACCGAGTCTGCCTGGGATGTTCAGGTCACTCTGCCCGTAAGCTCTTACATTTACCCTCACATCAGCACGAACTGGGCTGTTTTGAAGGGGAGGGGTGGGGTGAATTGGGTTTACGAATGACAGACAAGGAGAGAGAAGGCAGGAGAGCAACAGAGAGAGAGAGAGAGATGATGAAATAATTTCTATAGGGATGTGCTTTGCTCCTGTGGGTCAGATTGTGCTGAGGCTGTAGGAGTTATGCAGAGTCAGTGGAAGGAGTAGCACAACAATTCACTAATACACTGGGTAGGTGGAGATCAATTAGCCTTATCTTACAAACTACTAATGATAATACCAATGCAAAACTTGCTGACAAGGCAAAGAACAACAAGAGCTCAGAGTGATGATGTAATGAATTTAGCCAGTTGAAAGATACAGTATTTCTGCAAACACACTAGCTTGTGCTCTTTTTTTTTTTTCCGAGGCAAACACACTATAGTGGCAGCTTCTGTGATACTCGGTCAGCATACGCAGAAGCAGCATCAGCGTACAGACAGTGGACAAAATACCAGGAAGACTTTTGCAGTAT